GGCTTAATTTACGTGTTTGAAAGCAAGTGCAAGCTTCCATTAAAACGAACAAAGCTTTGTCTGTTGCTACAAAGAATCACTCTTCAATGCAAATACTACAAGGTGTGTTTTTGTGGCTGGGATCAAAGCTTGGAAAAGATTACGGCTCCCTAAATTCTTTGTTGGGGTTGGGATTTTGGAGCGGTAGTTTAACAAAAAATATTTTCCAGGCTCTACTTGGGGTTGCAAGGTTCTGAACTGTGGTACTTGCTTTGCATCTTTGGTGTTAAAATGGATCCTCCATCCCCTTCTTGTCCCTCTGCTCCTCCTTCAGGAGCTGCCTTGAGCTCTTAAGCTTCTGTGCACAGTCTCTCTGTTCTTCTCTCTTGCTGTGCTCAGCTGGTGGCCAGTTTAGGCTGCATTCCTATACTTGCTGGCTAGGCAGCAAACTGCACTACATACAGCAGCCTCTGTTTCTGTGTTGGCTTGCACCGGATTGCACTGACCAAAGATTGCTCTCCCTGCTGCCGATCTTTCTCCAGTGTCTTGAGTGTCTGTCATGTTTCAAGCTCACCTCTGCTTCTCTCTTCCTGATGCTTTCCCTTCAGCCTGCGCTGGACGAAGAGCTCCACAACCGAGAGGGCAACAAGGTACTTCTGCACTCTCCTGGTGCTTTGGCTCAATTGCCACAGGGAGCAAAGGTCACCCTGGCTGAGAGATTTCCTTCTCATTCAAGTTCTTTTTCTTTTCTGAACTCACATTTTGCCTTGATCTGTCAATCGTGCTGATATAACAGAGGGGGTCAAGGCTTCTTCTTTCCTTACCTTTTCAGACACAATTGTGGTAGACATATAGATGCTGTTTCTTATGTGGAATTCATGCACACCTACCCACACCCACCCACCTTGGACCAAAGTGTGAAAAAGTTACTTATTTATCCAACTCTTCCTGGAATCACCTAGCTAAAATATAGGAGTTACGTAGTTTTCAAGGTGCCACAACATCTTTCTTTCTTTCTTTCTTTCTTTCTTTCTTTCTTTCTTTCTTTCTTTCTTTCTTTCTTTCTTTCTTTCTTTCTTTCTTTCTTTCTTTCTTTC